GACCTGTAGTTCTGGAGGAGAAGGCATCTACCTAGGTATTTTACTGCGGACTCTACGTCCACCGCTTCGAGGTTATGATGCGCTCTTCTACTTCAATCTATGTCAACGCAGGCTCATCGTCCGACCACCAACCGTCTATCCTCCCGAGGTCATCAACTCACATCATCGACGCACCATTACTTCTTCAGGATATGCGTTCATCCAGTACCAAAAGATACCCTGCCGTTTACCCGCTTCTGCCTTGTCAAGTCTAAGCGCCGCGCATAGTAAGGCACTTCAGGTTTCCAAACGATCATGAGGCAACTCGGCACTCCTCGCCCCACTCATCTTCAAACGGCATACTACGCCACCACCCATGCACATCTACCGTACTTACTCTTGGCAAACAAGGCTGTCAAACATCGTTTAGGCGACGTGCAACAATGCGACAGCTTGGCCGCTGTGGTCTTACAGCTTAGGTATCCACACCGCCGTGCGCTATAGGTTGCTTTGTGGTAGCCCTACAGAACCTCAGGCCATTTTCGATGTTTGAGGTATTATCGCAGGAGGTGAGATACGTAGGCAAGATTCAGGGTGGATAGAGGAGGATGAGAGTTGATTCAAGCGCGCGGACGAAGCGTAGCGTAGAGACAAGCGTACCTAGGTATATGAGGCTAGGTACTCGTATGTCTTTTCCTGCGCTATTCAAGCTTCCTACCCTTCGTTTCTTCGCTTCGCTCTTTAACTACGATAACCGTAGAACGGTCTTTACATAATATTTACTTTCGATTCTTCCGTCTACCGTTGAACGGTAGTCAGCCCTTTAACGCTTTCGATACCTTTTGTAAATTGAGCTATTTGCTATTACACAATGAAGTCTACCATCTTCTCTCTCGCCCTTGTTGCCACGGCAAGTGCACTTCCAGGTCCGGCATTCAGGACCGTCAACAGACTGCCTAGCGTCAAGTGTATGTCATCTTCCATCTCTTCGCTTGGACTATACTGACCGAACAAGCCAACCCTCTTCGTCGCGCCAACCAAATCATTCCCGTAATCGTCGGTGGCCCACAAGATACCTTCATCCCCAACACCGTTACTGCAGCAGTCGGCGATATCATCCAGTTCCAGTTTTCCAACGGCAACCACACCGTCACGCAGTCGACGGCCGATACAGCATGCACGCCCATGGAAGGCGGTATCCACAGCGGTCACATTCCCTTCCAGGATGGCCAGACAGATGTTGGAACCTTCAACATGCCTGTTACTAGTGCCGACCCCATGTTTCTGTACTGTGCTACCGGACCACATTGCCAGGAGGGCCAGGTCATGATGGTCAACCCTGCGAATGCGCAGCAACTGGCCGACTATGTTAAATTGAGCCAGCAGAGTCAATCGAGCACTGACGGCACTGATGTTGTGGGTGGAACTGCTGGGAAGCTGGCTTTGGATACTGCTGCGTGAGTTTTCTCGCCGGATATGATGTGGTCTCGACGAACCAGACACTGACTGTACTATAGCTTCGTGCCTGCACCTCCCGAGGACCCAGCTGCGGCACCCCCTGCGGCACCCCCTGCTGCCGAAGCACCAGCAGAGACGCCACCTGCCGAGACGCCACCTGCTGAGACCCCAGCGGCAGAGGCACCAGCAGCGGAAGCTCCCGCTGAAGCACCACCCGCTGAAGAGACTCCCGCGGCAGAAGACCCAGCTGCAGCTCCTGTTGAGACCACTACTACTCCTGCTGAGGCCACTGCTGCTCCTGCTGAGACCACTGCTGCCATGGCTTGAGGAGCACGTACTCAAAGCAAACGGAAGGACATTGAAGAGGGTGGGTTTGATGGTTTTAGAGACAGATGAAGTATTCGAATATAAGAGCGAAATGACTGTGCTATTCTATGACGCGACCCGTGTTTCCACTGAATGATCTGGTGAGTAAATATGATGCGTGATGCAAGTTTAAGTCTGGTGGGATGGCGCTGATTCATGGACATCGCCGTCTCCTTGTCAAACAGTACATGAATACTCGAATGACAATATGCACCATGACCACATGAGAAGCATGAAAGGAGAGAGCAATGTCTGAACCATGGGATTTGAGGTTAGGAATATGAGTCAAGAACTGTCTTCTTCGGTAGTCTTGATATGTACTGACAAAGTCTCTGCATGTGCTAGCACAGTCCTCTTAGATTACTGTATTGTGATAAGTTCACACATCGCGTCTGCTGTATCTTGAAATCACGGAGATATTCGCGTCACGTATTTACATCATCAGCTTGATGTCAAGATAGCACAAGGTATGTCCGCATTTTACCAGTCTGCTTACATACATCTTGAAACTTACCAGAAAGATCAACACATCACTCGGTCGCCACATCCCAATCTTGTCTGGACGAACACACGTCTGAATCAGAGTAAAAATCATTCTGTCGCAAACATGAGGCCACAGTTCCCTTACGACCGCTCACTTGCACAGCCTCCTAGTCGTGACGGGTACACGCGGTAGGCTCCGGGTAGGTGTAATGTTGAGAAAATTCGTGGTGGCGATCAATCTCTAGACTACGCCTTCTCGTTCCAAAGTGTGGAATCCGAAGGCGACACAAGAGGCTGTGTACTCTAGCTCAGACGCAGGGCTAACTAGTCTGGGCTAGGCTTCATGATGAATGGTTCGCACAGGAACGACGGACTCCGGAACGTCTACGCGAGACCAACAGTCTTGACGTTGCTTGGTTCTTCTAAGGACTTATGCACACCCTCGACCGCTGTCTCGCTACTCTCTCTTGCGTAGATGCTGTGTAGAGAGTAATAAAACATCATATGCGCTCCTTTACTGTCTGGAGCAAACCAAGAGATACAACCAAGGTAGCACCCATGCAAACATGTACAGATCCTACCAGTAAATAGTAACTCAACCGATGCATACAATTAGCAAATATTCCATCGCCTGTAAATGTCGGCGATTATCGCAAGGGCGCTCCTCGGCCTAAAAAGGAAGATGAGCGCCTTGACCTGTCCTCTCCCAAAGCTCTCCAAAATCATGCATGTCATCTCATGACAAAATAGGGTTGTGCATGCTCTCCCCAACTATGCGAAGCTATTCCGAGGCCTTTCGGACAGCAACCTTGCTGACGTGCAGTGATGGCTCAGCAGACGGTCGTCAGGCGTCTACTAAGCGCTGCTGTCTCGACGGGCGAATCAACGAGCAAGCAAACCAAACGCTTTCCTTAAATATCACCTTTTCTCTACTCATGCCATGACGTAAATAGAGCAACGGAGACACGTCCAAGTAAAGTACGGAGCGCGGCTGGTCTATTGGTTCATCAACGTAAAATACCGCAGATGCTTAAGGGTGAGTTGCTTTCGGAACAACTTGGACACCACAACCTTTTCGGACCGACAGCACACGCAGTGCGTCGTGGGGTAGGCTGCCAAGGTCGCAGAAGCGGTCATCTAAAGCATGTCAAGATCTTGTATGCAGCAAGCCTCTTACTACTGTAGCTCAAGGTCAGAAGCTTATGTTGAGGTGAAGCGATTGCTCTTCTCATCGCGATGCAAATACAGATGCTCGAATGTGCTACTGCATGACGCTCTCGCGCACATGGTTCAAGGGTACCAGGTCCATGGAACGCTGAACTCGGGGGATTGTAACGGTCAACGCGCCTGGTGATCCAAGTTGACGATAAGAGTAATCACAGCGCCAATGACGCAAACAAACTTATCAAGACTGGGCGGGTGATGGGCACGGAACAGCCAAGCTTCTGGAGCTCTTGGCCGCTCGGAAATTGACGCATCCCTTTATCCATACATATCTTGGATCTTCAGGTACGAGGGCGGCGAGATGGACGAGAGCCAACAAAGCCGAGGGCAGGTGGAGCTGGTGATGGGTCGAGGCTGAGCAGGCGGTAAAATAATTTCACATGGCCGCCACTGGAAAAATAAAGCGTCTTGTTGATGCGCCATTGCGATTAGTCGGATGGACGGCCAAGAAGACAGGAGTAGCTATAGGCGAAAGCGCGCTTCCTAGCATTTGCGTCGATGAATCACTTGTGATATAGCGCTCAGACACGGTGCGGTAGGCGTGCCTTGGCCGTGACCTACTGGCCATACGGAAGGCAGCCCGTTTGGGTTGTGCGAGGTTGACGATGGTCGTGCCAGGCTGTTGCTGTGCGAATGGCCACATGGCGCATCACCGCTCGAGACAGCGTGCAGGAGATGCAGACTGGACTTGGCCAGGACAGTTGTTAACCGGTTAATCGTGGGGTGAAACGGAGGCTGGCACTCGAGGGGTTAGGTTAGAGGCCGTCCCGCTTGAGTCCCGCACCCATGCTGCTTGCGAAATAGCGCTCGACGCAAACGGCTTAGCGCTCGAGGTTGGCATCGGGGCAGTGCAAGTCTTGGGTATTTCGCAAAGGCACAACAAGGTCCATGGCCTTGGCTGGGGGTCTTGTTTGCCTTGTGCTCTCTGGAAGCCAGCATCTAAGATTGCCAGCCATTTTCCTTGAGCAAACAGCGTGATTGTCGCGTCACGTCTTCTCGCCACTTGATAGTCTTTACGAGCACCCAGGGACACGAGCTGCCATAGCCACACTCGACCGCGAACGAGTATGCGCAGCCAGAACACTGCCACTCACTAGTCCATAGCATCAGCTCTTCGAATCATTCCTTCGCTCAATCGCTCTTGCCGCAGACGCAGCGTGCCCAGGTAAGCCCACCATCGCTCTTGCCGGCTGCGACCACAACACAGGTGCTAAGACGACGACGTAGGTACCAGACTCCTTCCCAGGTACTCGCCTCCGCTCTTTACAACGCGACGACCAAGGCTGCAGCGCCGCCCTCTCGCCTCTACCACGACAGACGCCCTCTATAACCTGCATGTACTCTCTGTATGAGGTCTTGTTCATAATCTAGCACACTCACCGGAAGTGCACACCTGACATTGCTACGCTTACGGCCACCACCCGCCTGCCTGCTGCACAGCCCACCCTCAGCCTTCCACAGCTGCCTGGAAGGGGCGCCAGACTACCGCAATGGCGAACACCGATGCAAGCAATGCTTCATCAAGGCCACGGGCACCGACCATCACCATCGACACATCTGCCACCAACGACCCTACCATGGGCGACTCGGTCCCCCTAGGAGCCATTCAAGATAACAACAGACCTGCAACATACTCTAATACCGACAATGTCTCGCCTACACACTCGAGGCAGCAATCGCAAGAACTGCGTAATGCGCACTCGTTCGATAGCAAGGAGAGCAGACCCACGAGCCCGCATAACATCAGCTCACCGGTCACGGCATGGAACAGCAACGCCGGTTTGCTCAACGTCCCTGGTGCCCGGTCCCGAGGCAACTCGGTTGATTCGGCGACCGACAATGGTGAATCCAATAGCTCGGGCACATATGTACCATCATCACAGGGCGATACGCTAAAGGGAGACTTGGGACCGACTGAAATTATGAATGATAAAGATGCTTTGAAACCCGATCCGGGCACTGAGGCTGACTTTGAGGTCGAGAACAACAAGTTCGCTTTTTCGCCTGGACAGCTGGCGAAGCTCTACAACCCCAAGAGTGTAAGAACTACGCTTGGACCGCATTCATGTATATCCTAACAACATCTAGTTATCCGCTTTCCATGCTCTTGGTGGCCTTGATGGATTAGAAAAAGGTCTTCGGTCCGACCGCAGAGCCGGTTTGAGCATCGACGAGCAGCAACTGGACGGTGTCGTGACTTTCGACGAGGCTACTACTCCGAGCAGGACAGAGTCTCCGCAAAAGTCGTCTCCAAATGGAGTTGCACACACCGACAGCGCCCCAGCCGGTTCCAAGGAGAACGCCTTTGCTGACAGGAAGCGCATTTTTAGTGACAACCGTCTGCCAGTGAGGAAACCGAAGAACATCTTCCAGCTAGCCTGGATGGCCTACAACGACAAGGTCCTGATCTTGCTTACGTGCGCTGCTGTCATTTCGCTGGCCCTGGGACTGTACCAAACTTTTGGCGTAGAGCATGAGCCGGGCGAGCCTGCTGTCGAGTGGATCGAAGGTGTCGCCATTATTGTCGCCATTGTCATTGTGGTTGTTGTGGGTGCGGCGAACGACTGGCAAAAGGAACGGCAATTCGTCAAGCTCAACAAAAAGAAGGAGGACAGGACTATCAAGGTGGTTCGCTCAGGCACGACTCGCGAAATCTCCGTCTACGACATCTTTGTTGGAGACGTTGTCAATCTGGAGCCTGGTGACATGATCCCCGTGGATGGTATTCTCATCCAAGGCCACGGCATCAAGTGCGACGAGTCTTCGGCTACTGGAGAGTCTGACCTGCTCAAGAAAATGTCTGGCGAGGAGGCCTTCAAGGCCATCGAAAGGCACGACAATCTCAAGAAGGTCGACCCGTTCATTCTGTCTGGCGCCAAGGTCTCGGAAGGTGTTGGTTCTTTCATGGTTACCGCTACTGGTGTGCATTCCAGCTACGGAAAGACGATGATGTCTCTGCGCGAAGACAGCGAAGTTACTCCGCTCCAGAACAAGCTGAACGTTCTTGCGACGTACATTGCCAAGCTCGGTGGAGCAGCTGCCCTGTTGCTCTTTGTTGTGCTCTTCATCGAGTTCCTCGTCCGTCTGAAAGGCAGCCCCGACACCCCTGCCGAAAAGGGTCAGAACTTCCTCAACATTCTCATTGTCGCCATCACAGTCATTGTCGTTGCCGTGCCCGAGGGTCTGCCGCTAGCCGTCACTCTTGCATTGGCGTTTGCCACGACACGCATGTTGAAAGACAACAACCTGGTCCGTCTTCTCCGATCTTGCGAAACCATGGGAAATGCAACCACCATTTGCTCCGACAAGACAGGTACATTGACACAGAACAAAATGACGGTTGTCGCTGGCTCTCTAGGCACTGCTCTTCGCTTCGGGGACCACAAGCTCAAAGCGGCAGCACCACCACTTGACGATGGCAGCAAGGGCAAAGATGTGGCAGAGTCGCCTGTAGAGAACCCCAATGATGTTTCGGCACCCGAATTTGTTGCGACATTGAACCGCGATGTCAAGGACGTTCTACTGCAATCAATCATCCAGAACACGACCGCTTTCGAGGGTGAGGCTGGAGGCCCTGATCCCTTCATCGGCTCCAAGACTGAAACCGCGTTACTCGGATTCGCACGCGACTTCCTCGGCATGGGCAATGTCGCCCAGGAGCGGTCCAACGCCAACATTGTCCAGGTTATTCCTTTCGACTCGGCCATCAAGTGCTCCGGAGCTGTTGCAAAACTTAACGATGGTCGCTACCGCATGTATGTCAAGGGCGCTTCCGAGATCTTGCTTGGAATGTGCGATAAGATCGTCACAGACGCCAACAAGGAGCTCGTCGAAACATCCATGACAGGCGACAACCGTGAGACGCTCGAGCAAGTCATCACCACCTACGCGTCTCGGTCTCTGCGAACCATCGGCCTGATTTACCGTGACTTCGAGAGCTGGCCACCTGCTGAGTCTTCGAAGAACGAGGATGACCCGAGCCAAGCTGTCTTCAAGGACGTGTCCAAGAAGATGACTTTCCTGGCTGTTGTCGGTATTCAAGATCCTCTGCGAGAGAGTGTCCGTGAAGCCGTCAAAGACTGCCAGCACGCCGGCGTCTACGTCCGCATGGTCACTGGTGACAACGTCCTTACCGCCAAAGCCATCGCCGAAGACTGTGGAATTCTTGTACCTGGAGGTGTCGTCATGGAGGGCCCTACCTTCCGCAAGCTCTCAAAGCGAGACATGGACGCTGTCATCCCCAAGCTGTGTGTTCTCGCTCGCTCTAGTCCGGAAGACAAGCGTAGGCTTGTCAAGCGCCTCAAAGAGCTTGGCGAGACTGTTGCAGTCACTGGTGACGGAACCAACGATGCGCCAGCGCTAAAGACAGCCGACGTCGGTTTCTCCATGGGTATTGCTGGTACAGAAGTCGCAAAGGAGGCATCCGCCATTATTCTCATGGACGACAACTTCGCTTCCATCGTCAAGGCACTACTCTGGGGACGCGCGGTCAACGACGCTGTCAAGAAGTTCCTGCAGTTCCAGATTACTGTCAACATCACCGCCGTCCTGCTTACCTTTGTCTCTGCCGTGTCTAGCGACGACCAAACCTCTGTGCTGACTGCTGTTCAACTGCTCTGGGTCAACCTCATCATGGACACGTTCGCCGCATTGGCCCTCGCAACCGATCCCCCAACACGCAGCCTTCTTGACCGGAAGCCTGACCCGAAGTCTGCTCCTCTCATCACCCTGAGGATGTGGAAGATGATCATCGGTCAAGCAATTTACCAGCTGGTCGTCACCTTTATCCTCTACTTTGCCGGCGAGTCTATCCTCAGCTACCACAGCGAACACGAGAGGGAGCAACTGCCAGCCTTGGTCTTCAACACCTTCGTCTGGATGCAAATCTTCAACGCACTGAACAACCGCAGGCTCGATAACCGTTTCAATGTTTTCGAGGGCATCACCCACAACTGGTTCTTCATCATCATCCTGGCTATCATGATTGGTGGTCAGACGATGATCATCTTCGTTGGTGGTGTCGCCTTCAAGGTGACCAGACTCAACGGTGCTCAGTGGGGCTACTCGATAGTCCTGGGTTTCCTCTCTCTGCCCGTCGGTGTCATTGTTCGCTTGATTCCTGATGAGCTCGTCCGGAAGTGTGTCCCCGACTTCTTCAGGCGTAAACAAACTCCCGAGCTTACCATCTCCGATGACGAATATCAATGGAACCAGGGACTGTTGGAGATTCGCGACGAGCTTGCTTTCCTCCGCAAAGTACGTGGTGGGCGTCTCAGTGCCATGAAGTTCAAGGTGCAACATCCCAAGGAGATCTTCACAAAGTCTCGCTCCAGCCATTCTCTGCCTGGCACTCCAAACAACGGCCCACAGGACGACGGTTCTCAAGCGCCCCCCACACCCAACAGCCGCCGTCGTACTAGGTCCCGTTCAAACTCTGCATTCGGCCCGGCCACTGTCATGGCTGGTATCGTCGCTGGCAGTGTCGCTGGTTGGTCGCCAATCGACCGCGGTCATGGCGACAACGACTCCATCAAGTTCAGCCGCGACGCGACAAAGCAAGACCTCGAGGCACAGGACGGCATCGAAGTGCATCCAGACACCAAGTCGACTGATCCTATTCTAGCGCCCGACTCAAGCGAGTACCGCGGCCCTCCTAGCCAGAACATGGACACCACACCAGAGTTTGTCGTAGGACCATTCTCAGGCCACTCTGGAGACCACTCCAAACCGACAGGACCTGGAACATAAGGTCCTCTTTCCTTCGACCTAAATTCTTACACATTTTTACGCGCCTTTCCTAGTGTTTATAACTGTAATGCATGTTCTGCGGCGTTAGGAGTTGGTGTCTCGAGGAGCTACATTGTACATACCCCTTGCTCTTTCGATGACACTCCTCACGTTGGGCGGCAACTGCCTCGCTCGTTGTATTACTGAGACCCCTTTTCTATTACTGCATTATGGTGTAGAGAAAGCAGCCTTTGTAGCTGTATCGTTCTTCTTCACTTCTTGAGCGTGGCACTTTTCCGCGTGCGTCCAACATCTGGTAGTCAGACAGCAACAAGAAGAAACAAGAAACTCAGTTCCCCTTTGCTGTTGAATATCTGGCTCATGCCCAATTTGAATTGAAGTGATCACCCTCATAACTTCTCAACCCTCTCCTTCATCTCCCCGAGGTCTTCGCCCTCAACAGCGTCCTGGCCCTCCTTGACATACTTTGCTACTGCTTCCTTGATCCCTTCATCCCCATCGATAACATCGACCCAGCCCCTTGCCCCTTCAGCTTCCAAGACACCGACCACGCTCTCCGCAACCGTCGCACGGCTCGTCTTGCCACCCGCTCCAATCTTTCCCATCTTCACCTTGCCCGCCGGTTCCTCTGTCAGTGTACCAGGCCTTAAGCTGATTCCACAGAAGCGCTCATTAGCGGGAACATCATCTTTCTCCTCCTTGGCTACTCGATCCTGAGAAAGAACAGTGAGGACCTCGTCAGCTGCAACCTTGGCTTTGAAGTAGTTCGGCAAGATCTCCGTGTTGACCTTTTGTGCCGCCTTCCAGTCCTCGTCGTTCCACCAGGGTGCGCGTCCACGACGGGAAGAGAGGTAAGATACAGTCAAGAATTTCTTGACAGAAGGTGTGTGGATGCTGGCTTTTGTGAATGCAATAGCTGCGTCGCGGTCGACTGCAAACGTCATCTCCGCGCCGCCCTTGCCACCAGCTCCTGATTATCGTGAGTATACATGCATTCTTGTTGGATGCTATGCTTACCAGCGCTCCAGACAACCCAATCAGGCTTGACCTGCTCCAAGATGCTCTTCGCATCCCCTTCGTTCTTGACATCAGCCACACTGCTGACCAGCACGTCCAACTTTCCGGGCTGTCCTTGTCCCAGCTTCTCGATCGCAGATTTTTGAGAAGCAGTACGTATCATACTAGTCACGTTCCATGATCTGGCCAAAAGGAGTGGTGTGAGGAGTTGGGCAACTTTGCCGTGGCCGCCAATGAGAAGGATGTGGTGCGCCATTTTCTCGGGTTCTAAGAGGAAGGAACAGAAGTATCAGTATCAAGTGTAGGTGATGGTAAACGATTTGTTCATAGAAGGTTGATGTTACTGTTGGGGCCGGTTAAGCGTACTCATTCGATTTCTAAGATGACGTCGTGAGCGTCGACGCTTCCGAGTATGGGCCGACGGAGCTCCACGCGCACTGCATGATCCTACCTCTCACGCACTCTTTCCAAGGATGAATCTGGGCGCTCCTTGCAAGTTCTGATCGACGCATGCCATGATACGGTAACGTAGAAACGCTATACACAATCCAAGAACCTAGACGTGAAAATCACTGAGATGCAAAACTATAATCAACACGCTGTATGCGACCATAATGATACCCGGATTATCTAAGCACCAAGTAGCTGTGCGTGCAGTTCGATACCAAGTGAGCTACTGACGTTAGGTCGTGTTGTGTGACTTTGGGTGCGCTGTTGCAATCGATTAGCTACATCCTAGCGCCTTGGCAATTCAGCACCTCAAGGTCCCTGCAGTCGTTACGCGACGCGATCATCAGATCACGCTCCATCGCGCTGACGGCCTATGAACGTTGAGTAGACGCACCGGAGATCTTTTGTTGTTTGTGCAGAGCAAAACATGGAGCGACTGTTGTGCTGCACACGCGCCTGAGCGACCTGAAAATGTCCCTGACTGCACCTCGCAGCGGCAACCAACATGTCGAAATCCGCTTCAATCCCACAGTCGGCTCGGGTCCAGAAGGTCTGTACTCTCTGGACTCATGACGACAACTTTTCAAGAGATGAAATCGTTTTCAATGGAGAGAAATTCCCAGAACTGCCCACTAGTGCCGGCGCGCTCCTCCAGATCGTGGCGATACATACGGACAATGCTGTTCGAGACTTTTACACGGAATCCAAAGTCGATACCTTGCACAAGGATGCAAATGGGGATAGTCATTCAAAGAGACATCGACGGGACTCGATAACGATAACCGTTGATGAAAATGGCTCGACTATCCCGGAGGGTCGCCATGTTGACGCGGACAAGGCCTACGTCTTTGTTCCTAAAGCGCTTCCCGCAACCATGGAGTCCAAGTATCCAAATCTGCAAGTAAGTTATAGTCGGACTGAAAATCCGCATAGCTGACCTAAAAAAGGTCTCAATATCTGAGAGGATTGCCAAGGTATTCGGGTTCCGCAACAGGATGCAGGTCGTAGTGACTGAGGCTGATGAGGATGCGCACGAGGCTCATCACGTGGAGATCGTTTTTCGGGACGAGTATCTCGCACGCGCAGACATGTGGCGTATGGCGATCGCCGAACTCAGCAAGCGGACGGTCTACCGAGGCCAAAGGCTACTGTTCATGGGTACCATCAAGGCCACGATCAAACACATATACATCAACGGTCAGTCGGTTCATTCTGGCTACTTCTCGCCCAAGTCGAAGCCTATATTCCGCAGCGAATCAGCACGATACACACTTTTCATCCAGATGTCCAGAGAAATGTGGGATTTCGATACTGAAGGCGCTGGCGAGATCATGTTCAACAAGGTCGTAAGCGGATTTCTTCCAGACTTGTTCAAGAGATGGCTGCGAATAAATGCACGACATTTGGTCACCATCATCCTCTTTACAAGAATGCAATACGATGGAGAGCTCCTGGCCGATCGCCCGGAAGGGACCACGAGCAACACGTACGCCGATTCGCATTCGGGCACCTTCAGAGACTACTACAGAGTTGTCGTGAGCGACATGGCCAGCGGCGATTGGATCAACATTCTCTATCAGCTAAAGAAGGAGTTTAGGATGTTTCTTCGGGAGGTGTCTCTGGTCCGTAAGCCGGTGAAGCACGTCAACGAGGAAACGGGATCTGAAGACCCAGCCACTGATGTCGTCGTAGCTGGTCGACCTTCTTCCGCAAGCCAAGGCAACATCCTAGAAGCCATCAATCTGGCAGCGGCTCAATTTGCCAAAGACTACATCGATCGCGATCTCGTCCGCACGGGCATCTCCGTCATCGTTGTTACTCCGGGCACTGGCGTCTTTGAGGTTGACTACAACATGCTCAAGCTGACCACGGATACCCTGATTGGGTCGGGTATCGGAATTGATCTAGTGTGTCTCTCGCCGATGCCTCTTCACTCCGTGCCCCTGTTCAAATACCAAACGCCTCGTTCGGTGTCCGACTTGAAAGCCGAGCACGACAGGGAACAGCATGCTTCTCCGAGGATGTCGCGGACAGAAGAGGACAAAACTCCCCGCCAGAGTCAACCAGACTTTGGCTCCATGTCACGCGCTTCCACCGTACGACACATACCGATGGACGTGTCCACCGACTCATCGGACGGATGGAGGTTCGCAATGCCGTACTGGGTCGATGTGTCGTTCTGGTCTGGAACGTCTGAGGAGATTCTAGAACTCACAAAACCACGAAAGGCGGACAAGATTGTAAAGAAGTCTCGCAAGAAAGGTCGCATCTTCTCTCTACGGTGCCGATTGTACGAGCTGCAGATGATGGGTGTCATGGAGAATGAGGTGGGTGATATAGCGATTCCCTACCTGGAAGAGGACCCAATGTACCCACACCATCTGCGCGAGTTGTTCGAACCGAATGGAGAAGGCCCGCAGATCGCACCAGCAACCAAGCCTTCCGCAGCTGCGGCCGGCTCGTATTCTTCGCGGGGCGACAAAGAATATAACGAGGATCAGCTGGACGAAACAAGGGCTGCCCAAAAGGCCTGGATGGAGGCATACGACGGCGGAGTCTTTTCTCCTCTCGTAGAGAGACACTCTGCATTGGACCAACTCCAAGCTCGCAAGCGAAGGCTGAGCGATGAAATCACCAGCGGATCACCAGACCTGTCACGAAGTCTGCGTCTATCTTCTTCTTTCCGTAGTACTGGTCCGTCATTCGGGAAGACAGCTCGACCTCCACCAGACACGAACTTTCCGCAGCTGATGCGCGAGAGATCGAAAGACGTCGAAAGCCAATCTCCGCGAGGCAGCACCTACCGTATGCCAAACCTCAAAAGCGAGGGCATGCCGCGAGCCGATGTTTTGCGGCGGCAGAACAATTTGACTAGAGATAATGCTAGCGCCGGACGCCCTACGGTACATAAAAGAGGTGGTTCTGGAGACTCCCAAGATCATCGCCAAACCGTAAACTCTACCCAGAGACATCCACCAGCTCCGGCTACAAGCCGCGGGTCATCCCCCAGGCGAACTGGGCTCTTGCCGACTAGTGCCGGAACGCCAGCACCAGCTAAGCAGGACCTGAAGAGCAGACCTTCCAATTGGTTTCTTAGGCAGATGAGCTTTGGTGGAAAGGCTGCGCCGGCAAAACCAACTCTTGGCGATGCCACGATCGATATCAGTCAGGGGAAAGTGAAACCTGCAATGCTGACTGTTGAGAAGAATCAAAAAGGCGCCATTGCGGAACGGCTGGCGAGCACTCGCCATACTTCTACAGGGAAGCCGTCGCAGCCGATTGCGATAAAACCTGCATCGCGCGCAGGCCCTACGTCAGCCGAATCTCTTGCGTCTGACCGCGCAAGCCGCTCGGTTGAGACTGTGAGGGTAGCGCGATCCGACCGATCCAATGTGCCTTCGCAGCCTGGCTCAGTCGTGAGGGACCCTGGGTCAACATTTTTACTTGCGGGAGCGCGAGGTGCAGGTGAGCACGGTGGACCGAAACCAGACCTCTCTTCTAGTGGAGGTGGTAGAGAAGCTCCCCGGACTCTGTCTCCAACAAGCGCGATCGCTCCTTGGGCAGTCCTGGTCAACCCGTGTAACCCGAAGAAAAACATTATAAGCTCTAAGAACCAGTACCGGCGCTGGCATCACGTCTTCCCTAGGACGCTGAGGACAGGCACGGTGAAGTGGAGGTCGTTGTGTTCGCCTGCTGCAGTACCGCTGACCCACGAGTGGTTCCCTTCTGTTGACCAAATAGCATCAGAGTACAACGAAAGTCCATATAAAATTACGCAGAATGAGGACGACGATATTCTGGAAGCACCAAAGAGCCGAGAGTCTCTTATCAAAGAGCTAATCGCCTTTCGCCTCTCCCACGGGTTCCAAATCATCGTTGGTTCTTCCGTAGCGGAGTTTTCAGGCCGGCAAGAGAAGACTCTCGCTAGCATTCTTGATCCCGAGTACATGTCTAGTGATGGAGACACTGTTTTCATGAGCGTTGGAAACAGTATCCACCAGCTAGTGTGTGTAGCTGGGGGAGAGGTAGAGGTAAGGAGATACAACCGGAAGCCCACCACAGCACTGGAGTCGTCTGCTGGCATTGATACGCCTTTCTCGTACAAACCTTTTATCCGCACTGCGTTTGAAGACACATATGACCCTCGAGAAGTTGTGTTACGTCCACCACGGAGAGAATACAACTGGAACATCATCGACACTTTCTTGGCTGGATACCATGACGAGTTCTCGGAGATACTGCGCTTCTGGAGGGCTCGCTTTGTCCTAATTCCAGTGGATATACCAGCCATGCATCGGAGACCGTTGCCTATGCAGGACTCGCCTGAGGAGATCCGGCTCGAGGGAATTCGCAAGCTTACTCAACTGTGGCAGAAGTTCCGCTATATTCCTCCAGAAGAGCGCTACTTCCAGCCAGCGTCCATTTTGAAACAAAAGGACCCGAATCCGCTTGCAATTGAATACCACACACGCGATCCCTCGGCGGTCGTTGCGGCCGGCCCGGATCACTCCCTGCTCAACGACACTGACAGCGAGTTCCAGACGTCCATCTTCTCCGATGCGGAAAAATACCACACGTCTAGTATAGACATCAAAAAGCTCGCGGAAGACTTGCAGGGCGAAAAGGGGATTCAGATGCTTGACCGTCGATGGCATCTCAAGTTGCACTACAACTGTTTTCTCGGCTTTGACCTCACTAACTGGCTGCTCTCAAACTTCAAAGACATCGAAACGCGGGACGAGGCGGTAGACTTTGGCAACGAGCTGATGAAGAAAGGCCTCTTCCAGCACGTGCAGGGACGGCATC